ACATTTGTTGGAATCCAGTACTCCCCGTGGTTTTCTTGCCACGTGCATGGCTAACTAAGCTAACAAGCTAACAAAAGATACAGTTAGCATAAGGTGGCCAGATTTCTGAAATGAAAACCAGGGAAATTTCCAGTTTGGTGGTTACTATGTCAATCAAATATCCAACCTAATTATCTATGAAATAAAAATGGGAGACAATTCCAGTTTCATGTATTTTGCCCATCTGTTGTACAGTAGTAAACTATAGTGCGGGCCAACTGGTAAAATAGATTTTAACTAACACTACCAGCCTATTTAGTCTTCCAAAGTTGGTATTGGTGTTGTTGGCAGAGAACGTTACAACTTTGTTTTCCAGGATAATCTGTTCCAACAGATGTGTATATCTAACAATATATGATGACTATTGGCAGCAGCTTTACATGGCCATGATTGGATGCATTAATGGACAGGGACAAAAATTCAATCTGGTCTGGGTCCTGTGCTACCGAAGTAGATGCCCATGGTACTACGACATTATTCACTATGGCGTCACAGTTTTTCAGAGCACACGTGAACTTTGGCTCATAAAGCTGCTGTGCAGTCCATAGGTCTGGGGTTGTGTGGTATGCTCTCTTTAGGGCTGAAACGATTCATCGATTAAATCAATTAATAACATGCATCAACACAAATTCTTTGCATCGATGCCATGTAACTTTACAGCACAGTGTTTCGCAGGGACATTTATTACTGTCGCACATCACGCTTACGCTGTGAACACGGCGTGATTATGATGGAGCTGTTTGCAAAGTGGAGGAAGAGAGAGAAAATATTGAGGGACAAAGAAGAAAGTGTCCAAAGTCTGGGATTATTTCAAGCTAAAGAAAACAACAACTCTGTAATGTCACAGTCCGTCCACCGTAAAACAAAACGTATGTCGCCTCGGCAACAGCACAACGGCAGCTGAACAAAAAGGTGTTCTGCCAGCGGACCACAGACAAGGTAACAGTAACAGCAACTTTAGCATTTAGCTGAAATCATGATTGATTGTTGAGTTGAAGCCAAAGTAAGCTGCAGTCCTCAGCTGAAAATGTGCACATGTGTTTGTTGTTCACCTTTTTGGGCCGTGAGTTGTAACCTCACAGTCAGGAGTTAACTGGGTGTCGAGGAGCTGCACCTTTTAACTCCCCTCCAGCTCTCTCTGTAGCTCAGACAATCTCTGCTACCTGCGTGTGCTAATCCATCCTTTACCCAGATTCTTTGTCTTTATTATCGCCATCTTTATAATAACAAACAGCTGTTTCCTGTGAAGGATCGCTCATTTCCCGTTTCACATTTCACGTGTGTTTTCTTGACAAAACGTGGTTTGGAGAGCCGCTGTCAGCTCCTGTAGTGTGTGTGTGTCCCTGTCACCGATCAGTCATGTAGTGTGAACGCCACAGCGACTTTAAGACTGCCGTCATATGACCGCCTAGCAAAAGTACTTATTAAACGACACATCGATGAATCATTGAAATAATCTATTGAAGCTTATACTAAAATCATCGTTAGCTGCAGCCCTAGCTCTCTTAACTTTTTCTTCTCCTTCAATCTTTCTCCTCCTCTTTCCTTTCATTCTCCCTTCTCATCTACACTCTCTTCACATTATTATTTTTATCCCCTTTTATCCCCCTGAAAACCAGCGGTCCAAATCTCCTGTGCTTGATTACAGGTGTAAACACCAACACTTCCGAGCTCCCAGTCCGGGCAGAGTCTAAAGCTAGCTAGTTAGCGCGGTTACTTTAGCAACGTGTAAAGACTTGATATATGGAACTTATTATAGTAATATTTTGATGTCAGGCACACAGTGATTGATTGATTTGCCAACCCTAAACTCAGTGCTGTGCATGCATTTATTGACTCTGGTCATGTTTTTAGTATAAAGTTAACTAAACATATCCATTTGCAACTAATGTATGTGAGCACCGTTAACTCCTGTTGTGTGTTTTACGGCACCTTGTACGCCAGACAGGTGTTGCACCAATTTCTGTGACCCATCAGATTCTGTGTCTAAACCCAAACCATGATTTTGTTTCTTAACCTAACCAAGCGTGACCAAACTGCAACCACATGCTAGAAAGCCTTTGGTTAGCCTTAGGTGAAGAAATGGTCTGAGATAATAAAGTTAGTCAACATTAACTTTCAAGGTCACTGCTATCGAGACTTGCGGGTCCTATGATGTAACGTTAAGTCTCGAGCGTCAAATCTAATTTAATTTGAAACGCAATGGATAAGAAAATCATCAGGTGGCAGTCTCTGCCTGCTCTCTGTTGGCTCACACACACACACACACACACACAGGCAGCAGAACAAGAGGCTGCGGTGTCGCGGTGGAATACAGTGAGGGTTAAGTTAACGTTAGCTCCAAACTACTTTAACGTTAGTTGATGACAGCTACGCTCGTTACTGTAAGTACGTGCAATAAAACCTTCGCAAGTAAAAAGACAATACTTTATCAATCCACCTGTCTGTAAGGTAACATTAAACATGTAGAAATGGTTAATTTAATCATCTCTGTCCTCAGTATCTCATCCTCTATGTTTTATACAAGCACAGCTAACGCTAGCTTGGCATTAGCCAAATGTTAAAAACAAGCTAGATAGAAAGCATCTGTCTGGAGCACAGACTGGTCTGTAGTCTTAAAAACTCAGCTGCTGGCTGAGACAAACCAGCCGCTCCTCCTTCTACCTGGTAACGTTACCTGCAGCCAGCGAGAGAGGAGGAGGGACTGATCCAGACTGATGGTATTCTTTCTAAACGCCACTCACTACTTGTGATGTCAGATAAAGTTATTGAGTTACTTTGCTGTTGTCTAGAAACAACATTTAGCTGTATTTAAAATATTAAATTAAAAACAACCAGGTAGTTAATATGCACACTTCAATATATGTTTATTTATCGCAAGTGATACGTCATCTCAATATATAACGTTATCGCACATTGAATATGTTCCTCATACCGTGCAGGCCTACCTCATGCCCGTTAGGTCTGGTCTTACCAAATAACAAAATAATAGTGGTATCGATAAAGAATCAGATCGTTAAGCAGTCTCAATAAGGGTATCAATATCAATAAAAATTAACAATCCCCATCCCTAGTCACACAGTAACTAAACCCTGATCTCCCAGGTGATGGTTCTGTGTCTGACCCATTCATCCACCATATCATACTTGGACTCTTAATATTATGTTACGTGTCTTCCTAAAGCCTGTCTGACAAAAGCTGAAATGGCTATGAAAGGCTTTCTTAAGTTGTCAATAAATGTATCCTCATTACATACGCAGACTGAACGGTATTTCTCTTAATGACACAATTGAGTTGCTCCTCTGAGTTGCTAATGTTAGCCACGTTGATCTGGAATGTGGCGCTGCCTCATGTGGAATAATCAGGAAAATTAGTTTCCAACCGTAAAGCAATAAAATAGTAAAAAATACAACAGATCTACTTTGTATGTCCACGTTGTTTCCAAATTATGACTGCAAAGCTCATGAACACACAAATCGGAAGAACTACTTCCCAAATGGGACCATCCAAGGAACATTTCAGTGCACCAGGTTATATATGACAAAATCACGTTTGTAAAAAAAAAACTGGCTTAACATGAAGGTCTTTCAGAGCGATCTGTGCGATTTTCAACCATCTCAAATCGCACTAAAGGGCCGTTACCAAGCATGAACCTCCGGGTCTGAAAAGTGAAGCCGTGCAAAAGTGACTAAAACCTGCATTCTTTCTAACGGCCAGCAGGGGGCGACTCATCTAACTGCAAAAAGAAATCCGGTTCCATTAGAAAAGGTAAAATAAGCCTACTTCTCACTTGATTTATTACCTCAGTAAACATTTTCCTAATGACTTTATGATCTCAATTGTTGTTTCAAGTCTTCTTCAACACAGCATGATGTTCATTTAGTAAATTATGGTCCCATTTAGAGGAAAAGTGTATGCTTTAGGGCGGGACTACCTTGTGATTCACAAGTCGCTACCATGGCAACCTGTCAAGATAGAGGCGACTCTATCCACTGCTTTGTGAACATTAAACCAACGCAGCAGAAAAAGCTTAAATCGGAGTCCGCTTTTAAATTTTTCGGTAAACATTTTTTTTTTTAAGCCTGTTTTACTAGCAAAAATTAGCATTCCAGTTAAAATCAGAGTTAACGTGAATTACAGATACACCTAACTAGCCAAGCTAGCTAGCGCCACCATCTCATCCAAATATCATCACATCTGGTGACTGGTTGGAAGATAACAACATGGCGGCGGCCAAACTGCCAGGCTTCAAAACTGTAGTCCACAAGCCAACGCGTGATGTCACAGTGACTACGTCCACTTCTTTTATACAGTCTATGGGCAGTACTCCACAGAACACGACTTGACGCTGCAGCTGATTGGACTATCATATTCAGAGGCAGGACTTACAAACTTATTATGTAAAACAACTTTACTAATGATGACAATAATAAATTATACCATATTTTTTGTAGGACAGTGGCGCCCTATCGCCCTCTAATAGCCAGCCGCCCCTGACTAAATAATCATCAAAAATAAATCTCAGACTGGGCTCATGATTGCCAAATACTCAATATTAAAGGATTTCTGATGTCCCTGGCCCCTACATTTGACTTTCCAGTGGGAAATGTTAAGTGTTCCTCTGAACACAGGCTCAGGTTTTGGCCTCCTGGGCCCACGGGTATGTGCCACACTCACACTGGTAACTGCAGAGTAAATCAGAATTTATCTATCAGTAGTGTCCTATCAGGTAATAGTTCTAATGCACACATTGTTGCATGTTACTTGTTATTTAAAATGTAGCATCACGCTGTATGAGAGGAGCAGAGCTAAAGTGCAGTAACCTGTACTGTGACAGCTAGGGAATGCTCGCTCACTGAAAAAATGACAGCGGCAGCAAACACGCGGTCGCGCACACGCACGCGGTCGTCTGTGATGCTGTGCTGCAGGGGAACGTTAGATAATATTTTTGCTCTCCTCACCCTCCGTCCTGCTCCGTATTGGCTGGCGCTCCACCGGGCCCGACTGTCCACCGCTGTCTCTCCGTTACCGGGCAGGGAGCCGGAGTCCGAATCCTCACCCTCCTCCAGCTCCTCTTCGCCCTCCTCTCTCTCCTCCGCCTCCCTCTCCTCCGTTTTCAGCCGCTTTGCCGCCCTTCCGTACTCCCCTTCCTCGCGCTGGCCGGCTCCTTCTACCGTCGACATGCTCGCGGCTGCGGTGGACCTGTTGGAGAGACTGTGTGTGAAGCTGGTCAAACTGGCACGTCCATGTCAGCAGCTGTCCTGTACTGTCTCCTCGTTAAGCCTCCGTGTATCTGTCTGTGTCTCCTTAGATATATGTCCCCGTCTCGCGGCTCCACTCTCTGTCTTTCTATCGCTCTCAACCCCACTGATTTTCTATGTGTGGAGGTGTAGTGGACTGAACACATCCCGCCCCATACTGCTCTCTTATTGGGCAGTCTGGGCTTGCACCTTGGAGATAGTGCGTGTGATTGGCCGGTGTCGATGCGTCAGCAGACAGCCCTCCACACTCTGCAGAGGAGTGCGCAGAGAAGGAGCCAAGAGGGGAACGGTGGGCTAGCTAGAAATGGAGGTGACAGTGTCAGTTGGAGCTTTTGTTTGCTGCATTATTAAAGTGGTAACTATCTTGTCACCATCATGTCTGGCTTAATTTCTCACAAGACATCAATGGGCCTTTCTATGGGGACTAACCTTACCCGAACATCTTTCTAAGTAGGCTATAACGTCCCCAAAAAAGGTCAAGCCAAGTTTATGGCAGCTGCATTGACTCCATACATTTAGGGATTTTATGGAAGGTTAAAATGTCTAAATTAATAGAAACTCAAACAAAACCATAAAGTAAATGCATTTAAACATATTTTCACATTTATATGTATGTGTCATTATTACATGAAAAACATATTTGAAGGAAATTATTTGGTTTCATGTCTTTAATAACTAAATGGTTTTTCATTGTGACATGAATTATCCATGCCATAACAGGTGTGTTGCATTTCACTGTTGTCCAGAAGAGAGCACCTTAAACCTGTCAGTAATAAATGAAAAGCATTGTCATTAGTTTTCATGAGGAGGTGCAAGGGAGCATTTTATTTATGTATTTAAATGGCAACACATTGCCAATGCCAAATGAAAAACTTGACTGTCCAATCACAGCCTGGGGGTGGGATGTATTGCAGGGGTTAGTTCCCCTAAGCAGCAACAACAACAAAAAACTGATGTTCTCACTTCCCTCTAGTGGTGTCTGTCTCTGCAAGTACTTAATAAACTATATTATGAACAAAACAGATCTAATTTGGTTTTGAACTAAAAGTGATTATACATTTTTGACCTGCTGTAAAAGATCTGCTGTGAAAACTGAATTTTTCAGCGCTCTGATGAAATCACGTGAACAGCATCTGACTCATCAGTGTGGTCAGTAGATGCTTTCCTATAACTACCTGGCAATGTACAAGTCATCAGCAGATACTGTTTACAGCAGGCTGGAGCCTTGCATAGACTTTCATTATCTGGTGGATCTTGTGCGTCTAAAAGCCTTTTTTTTCTGTCAAACCTCAAACTGACAATAGACCTTTTTACAACAGACATTTTGACAAGTCACAGCAGGAGCATTGCAGGGTAATTATTAACCATAATAAAGGCTGCATTCCAGTTAGGTGCAAGCTGGCTCACTGAGAGGTATTACTGAGACATCACTAATGTTATTAATAACAGCAGTTAGTTAAGTGCCTGCTGTGAAAGGCGTCTGGTATATGGAAAGAATCACTGATAGGCATATGAAAGCTAGCCACAGGCCATTTGTGTGTGAAGTGTTTCCCTGAACTACAGGACACATGCTATGTTCCAGTTTCATACTACAACAGTCTTTTGTCCCAGCACACATTTTGTCTTGTCACAGTATAAAAGCACAGGTGTTACTTATCACATTAACAATGCCTCTGATCTATTCAAGTGTCCCAGTAAGCCATGACAGTGTGCACTATCATGTACAATACTAGGACCATGAAACTGAAGCAGCTAAGTGGAATTCAGGCACCATTCATTTTATTGCTCACGGTTGTGCTTTTCCAACTGTAACATGTCAAAATGTCTTATCATTTTTTATACTACAGTTACAGTTTTATAAAGGAAATCAACATATTTACTAACAGGAAATGAAACAATATGCACCTTCAAACATCAATCAAACTGCAATTTTAGAACACCACTGATTTCAAAAAGAGATAGCAAAATGTCTTTCTGAAGATGGAAGACTTTCTTCTTTTGTATGGCCATTTATACCCTTTATTTGATATTTCTTCTTGTCCACAGTTCATCTCATCCTCTTTGATATTCTTGACATATTGTGTTTCATGCTGTATGTCATGTTTTGCTTCTTAATGTTTAGCTTGCTCAGTGTGTAGTACTGGAATTGGAAGATATCGTCACTGCCCTGCAGAGGTTGCAAGACACCAAAATCAATGACTGAATGCAATGTTCATTTCATTTTAAAGTTTATTCTTAAATTAGTGGGACATTGCAAATTGTAAGGCATGGGGATGTAACATCTGATCCTGTTGTCCTAAAAAAGGGTGTCCCACAAGGATCAGTTCTGGGTCCTTTGCTTTTTATCGTCTATATAAACAATGTCTGCAGTAACTTTGAACACATCATTTGTATGCGGATGATACAATTATGTATTCTTGTGCCCCTACACCCGAGACTGCCTATGCAAATTTGCAGTTAGACTTTGCCTCATTACAAACTGCCTTGTTTGATTTGAAGCTACTTTTAAATGCAAAAAAGACAAAGGCGATGATATTTGCGACTATAAATACTTATATAGATTAAAATCTTGCTTTTTTAGGACTACATGGAAAAAACTGGTAGCAGGATTATTCTTGTCTCAGCTAGATTATGGTGATATCATCTATCAATTTGCATGTCCATTTACTCTGTCAAAGCTTGACCCTCTTTATCATGCGGCTCTCAGGTTCATCATAAATGCTGCATCTTATACAGTAGGGTAAATTGGCCATCACTCAAACTGCGCAGGATGCTACATTGGTACATTTTTATTTATAAAGCTATTTTAGGTCTTTTGCCTTCTTATATCTGTTTAAAATTTGTTCATATGCAAAGTACATATCATTTAAGATCTAGTGACGGACTACTGTGTAAGGTACCAAGAATGAGGACAGAAGCAGGAAAGAGGAGTCTGTCTTACTATGGCCCTTCATCCTGGAATGAACTCCAGTCTAGGCTTAAGATTGGTGCACTAATTTCCTTAGCTGCTTTTAAAAAAAGAATATCTGACATTTTCACGGACGAATGTACTTGTTTTTAATTAATGGTAGGTAGATCTCTACATTTAGTCCTTATTTTGTTTGTTCATATATTTTGAACTCATTGTATTTTTTCTATGTAAATATTTTGTAAACTTTGTGTAAATCTGTATTGTATTTTAATTTATGTAATGTATTGTTTTTCAACTTATGGTTTTATTTGTGCTATACAGGACTCCCTTGTAAAAGAGACTGTGTCTCAATGGGACATTTCCTGTTTAAATAAAGGTTTATATATATTGCGGCATGAGTTGGGAGCCAATTAACAGAGAAACAAAATAAGGAACAGGAATTGTTTAATGGACTGTATGTCACAGTAGGAAGGGTAGTTTAATGTATAATAATGCATTGTATTATATAAATGGATCATGTGATTTTCATGTAAAATCCTAATCTGAAAAGTAACTCGTTACTATAGCTATAAAATGGATGTAGTGGAGTAAAAAGAACAATATTTCCCTGTAAAATGTAATGAAATAGAAGTATAAAGTAGCACAAAATGGAAGTACTCAAATACAGTAGAAGCATCTCAACATTATACTTAAGTACAGAACTTGAGTAAATGTACTTCGTTACTTTCCACCACTGTGTTATCCCATGGATGTTGTGTAATTCTGTAGGTCATACTGTAAATCAATACAATTTTCAACATTGCTTCACTCCAATATGTTGGCTTTATGCTATCACACATATTGGTTTCCTCTTTTAACTGTACCCTCACTATACTAATGTTGTGTGTGTCAGAAAGTGTGTAGCTTGTAGCTGTTTCAGAAAAAGTGATTTTACGCGTCTATTTACATTCATTTAGCTGACACTATTATCCAAAGCGACTTACAATTGCTATATATGTCACACGCCTCTGGAGCAACTAGGGGTTAAGTGTCTTGCTCAAGGACACAATGGTGGGTGTCTCACAGTGCGCCATCACCACCCCATTTAAGTGTAGTAAACAGTTTGGCCTGTTTGGATCTCCATTACTTGCATCATGTTGCTTTGAAAAATCACAGTTCGTTAAAGTTTTCAAAGTATAAGTCTGGTGATATTGAATATTTTTCTTATAGTTAGGTAATCCCATGTGCAGACTCCCTCCACAATGTAGTGATTAGGTGCCAACATGCAATATAATAGAGTTTATTTGAAGCAGGCTGAGTGGTATCATGATGAGTGAACTGATCGTGATCGTGATTGGAGAAGTGCCCCTTTAAAAAAAAAATTTGACACCACCCTTGCAGAAATCTTGCGAGCTTCAAATGTGTCAGTGATGCAATTTATTCAAATGCTACAAGTTAGTATGTGGCTCAAATAACACATTTGTGTGACACTGGTTAGAGTGTCACAAGGTTGCTGCTATGTCATGCATGTGTAGGTATCGAGGCCTACACGTATGCAGCTGTGCTTGTTGGGCCACAGGATTATGTAATATAGCAGAGCCATTTCCTGTTCCTCTATTTCGAACCCTGTAGACACACTTAATCTTCCTCTATGTCTGGTCTTTCCCATGGCCCCTGTTTTCACACTGACACTGTGATTCAGATCAGCTTTCGGGTAGCTCGGCCTGTTGGACAACACTGCAGTGCAGCTGAAAGATTAGATTGTTCACATGATCCTTCCACTTAATACTTTCAAAAGGGTGTGATTCACACATTCACAGACTAATTCACACACACACACACACACACATATGTTTATTTTACTATCTTTGTGGGGACAATCTCATTGACATAATGCATTCCTTAGTCCCTTACCCTAACCTTAACCATCATAACTACATGCCTAACCTTAATTCTACCCCATACTAGAACCCTAAATCTAAGTCTCAACTTGTGCAGTGCAACATTTTGGTTCCCACAAAGCTGGTCGGAC